ACTATATAGAGTCTTGAAGACTACTAACTTATAAATAGCTCTGAAGGCTTATGATTTAAATCTTCATAACTATATAGTTTGATTTTAGTCTTTGTAGATCTTCTCAAATTTTTGTTGGATTTATAATTTTATGAATAAGTTTTGAAGCATTACATAATATACACAAAGAAGTGAAGTTTTTGAATAACGAATATCCATAAAATTTTATGTTTTGAAAAAAAAATGTATTTCATACTTTGAAAAAGCATAACTAGAAGTAAAGTATATCATATAGTGAAAAATTAATATATGTTAGTTCCTAAACAACTATATATGTTATAATATTTGTTTATCAAAGGGTTTTAAGGTGATAGCGCAATTGGATTGAAATTTATTATTATATCTGAATTAGGAAGCATTTAGATTTTCAAGTTAAATATATATTATTAGCTTACTATATTCACTCTATTTGAAATATAGAAATAAGAGAAATATATTTATATGACTCACACTTAAGGGGGAGATTGTTGAAATACAAGTGTGAATTATGTTGGATGAAATTTGTTATTATTAATATTAATATCATTGTTTATATCTTATATTCTGTTTGAAAAAGGCTCCAGAAGAGTCAATAGCGCTCAACCTTCCATGAGTGCACAGGTTTTTACCATTAGGTAAAAGATGAAAAATAACGCTCTAGAAGAGTTATATAATGATTCATTATCCTGAAGATAAAATCTATAATTGATAGCATGTTCCTTATGAAATATTAATGTGAAAAATGAATAATATAACATGGTAACAATAAGTTTACTAATAATTGAGAATAATTTTATAATAAACAAGAAGTTTATACATTTATAGTTTGGCATGACCGGTCAGATCATTCCAGATCATAATGATGCAAAATATCATGAAAAATGTGCATTGTCATTTATTAAAGAACTAGAAGATTCTTTAAAAATGATATATAATTCAAGAATTTTTATGTGTTGTTTGTTCTCAAAAGAACTAAATAAGAGAACATTGCTAGCTATGCTCAAAATCAGATCCGTGCAGATTTATAATATATCAACTTTATATATGGGCCCATTTAGATATCATGTGGACTAAAGTAACATTGTATAAATGAAAGATGCATTTATAAAATGGTCACAGGTATTTATGATCAACTTGCAACCTGAAGTTTGCAAATATGTTTAGAGAATTACATGGAGTACATAAGTTCTTGATTATGCAATCAATATGATTCTTGTTGAGATTGCTAGTGATTGTTCCTCACGTTGCTAATGATTATATGCTTAGTAATAGCCTCCATAAGTAGTTATATCAGAGTTTATGAGAACAAAATTCCCATTTGAGTGTTGGGATGATTGATTTTCTATACTTTTGCACATAAATGCATCAAGCCAATAATGTATTATGAATTCTCCCATTATAATTGACTTTTGGTCAGGATCCAGACATTTTTCATCTTAGAACATGTAATATCTATTATTTCACTATAATAATGCACATAGATGGATATTAAAAGTAAGTTGGGATCACTGTTGGATAAGAATCTCCTTATTCTTGTTTGTCTCTAAATGAAGTAAAATAATGTTTCTAAAGGAGATTTATGGATTTGAGAGACCTACATTACATGTTCCCAATATGAGGGGGAGAAAATGTATAGCTGGAAAAGAAAACACATAGAATGCATTTTCACTATCAAATGTAGATCCTCAAATATAGTAGTATGAACTAGAAGTTCATAAAGTATTGCATTCGTAAAACATTACTAATATCTGCCAGATGCAATTACTGACCCATGTGAGAATTCTTAATTCTTATATTCTGGCTAAAAATGCTCCCATTCTTAAAGACATGCTAAAAGCATGATATTATGATCGGTTCCAAAAGAAAAAAAAAAGGAGCAAATGATCATCATGATCATACTAAGGAGGCATGAATTGCAAAAGAGGTTAATACATAACTCTTTGACCCCTGAAGAAGTTTAAGTGTCTGAAAGCAATAAAGAGATCTCAACATATTATGTCATAAAAGAAAATGGGACTGATAAAGGAATAAAATTGTCGACAACAATTTGATTGATGATATCATATGATCAAATGAGGATCTTATATATAAATATGTTATGAAATATTGACAGAAAAATGATTGGCCAATAGAAAAGAAAAGACGCAACATTATAACAGGAGATTTGTGTATTTCTAACCCAAGTACCTGAAGTGTAATGGGCATTTGTACAAGAAAAGAGAAATACAATCTTGTGGTGAATTAAAATTTTTATGTATCTTATCAATTTGGCAGTTTGATAATATATAAAAGTATCTCTTATGCGTCTAGAAAATACAGTGACTCACTATGTAATAAAATTATATGTGAATCCTAGAAGGATTCAAATCCTTATATAAATATAAACGATCCAATATATGAATAGATATGGATCATAAAGTATTACGTCATAAAAGAAAATGAGACTGATAAAGGAATAAAATTGTCGACAACAATTTGATTGATGATATCATATGATCAAATGAGGATCTTATATATAAATATGTTATGAAATATTGACAGAAAAATGATTGGCCAATAGAAAAGAAAAGACGCAACATTATAACAGGAGATTTGTGTATTTCTAACCCAAGTACCTGAAGTGTAATGGGCATTTGTACAAGAAAAGAGAAATACAATCTTGTGGTGAATTAAAATTTTTATGTATCTTATTAATCTGGCAGTTTGATAATATATAAAAATATCTCTTATACGTCTAGAAAATACAGTGACTCACTATGTAGTAAAATTATATGTGAATCCTAGAAGGATTCAAATCCTTATATAAATATAAACGATCCAATATATGAATAGATATGGATCATAATGTATGAAAATCCTTGAAGGATTTAAGTTTCTAGAAGCATACAATTATGTTCTCAAGGACACTATTCAAGTAAGTCTCTATATGAGACATATGTGGTTAATATTGACTGAAGGAATGATGTAAACATATTCCAACTTGTTTGTTTGTGAAAAGATTCAAAATGAGTTTATTATCAGCATTATTTATGATGATAGTATCAAAACTCCTGATGAGTTTTCAAAAGTTGCGAATTACTTAAAGAAAAAGTTTGAAATGAAAGCTTTCGGAAGAATACATATGGATAAGTTACATCCATTATGTGGATAAGCAACATCCATTATATGTTTCGGTAGTTGCAAGATCTTTAGATATGGACTAAAGATCAATTTAGACCTCTAGAAGGTAATGAATAAACACTTGGTCCAGAAGTACCATATTTCACTGAAGCATTTATATATCCATCTAGCTATACAGAATTTGAGCTATCATTTGCTGATTAGCATGATATAGTTCTTTATCAACAAGAAGATGTTGGAATGAAGTTAAAAATATTCTTCATTACTTTAAAGATACCGTGGAGGTAATATTATTTTATCTGAAAGTATCCAAAACTAAGCTTAATGGCTATATAGATAAAGTATTCTTGTTTGATCCTCATGTCAAGAGATCATAGTATGATCCATGTGTGGATAAGCCATAAAAGGACTATTCGTCTCATGATTTTCAGAAGATCATGAAATTCATATTTTACGTTTTTATCTCATTACAATATTTGGAAGGGTTGTTCGTTATATTAGACTTTGTAGGCTCGAAGATGTCAACTGATATTGCCAAAAGGGGAAATTGATACATGCTGTACTCTTTTTTTTCTTATCTATGGTTTTGTCCCACTGGGTTTTCCTAGCAAGGTTTTTAATGAGGCAGCATTGCATAGTGTATCAATAAATGATGCATTCTTTTTCTTTCGCTAGGTTTTTGTCTCACAGGGTTTTTCTTAGTTGAAGCTTTTTAACGAGGCACATTCATATATATTAGACGTCCAAGGGGGAGTGTTATGAATATAATAATATCTTTGTGGATGTCCATATATCTCCTATTATCTCCTACATCTCCTATAATTTCTAATATCTCATATTATTTCTGTATCCCACAATTATCTCATATTATTATGTAATCTGTAGATTTTATCAAAGGTGTAAAGTTGTACCTATAAATAGAGGCCATGTATAATGTATTGAGCACATTTGAATAGAATAAGAAATACTCTCTCTTCTTGATCCTCTCTTCCTCTATATAATTATTCTCTCTATTTCTTCTTTATTTGTAACATTATCAAAATAAATATAATTTTAGTTGATTTTTTTGAGTGTAGTAGTTGAAGGCTTAAATAAAATAATATTGACAATCACTTTGAAATCTAGTAACATAAAAATTCTTTTTATAAATAAAAAAGTCACAAGTTCAGTTTTACTTATAATTTTAATTTAGTACTACCTCCGATCCTTAATATAAGACCTTGTTTGATTTTTATTTTGGTTCTAAATATAAGACCACAATCCACTTTGTCTATCATATTTATGTTTTTTTCCCAAGATAGTCCTTCTAATAATAATAATTCTAAGTAATACACTTAATTAGTAAGGATATTTTAGGAAAGACAACACCTATTTATTATAAATAACTAACTTAACTTCTTTTCTTAATCTCTTCAAATTAGTCAACTAACTCTTATAATTAAAACCGGAGGTAGTATCTTCTAGCCAAAATAGAAAAAAAGAAAAAAAAATTTAAGTGAGTACCTGTCCCTATAATTTTAAAAAAATAAGGTTGAATTGAAGTTTTATAATAATAAAATGGAATGTGGAATTATATATAATAGGCCAAAACAAAAGAGTATATAATCGTTATAATAGCCATGGGAAAGTTTCCTGAAAATGAACAAAGTTTCCTTTGCTTGATTTTGAGTCATAGTAAAAGTCGATTAAATTTTTTTTGGCCAGAATAAAAAATTATTTTGATAATTAAAAATGAATTTGAAAAATTGATGATGGATAATAAAAATTTAAGGAGTTAAAATGAAATTTGTAAGAATAAAAATAAAATGAAACATTTGGTGAAGGCCATGAAAAAGGGAACCCGAAATTAAATTAGGAATAGGAACAACCAAACGAGCGAGTGGGCGTGAGACGGAAGTCATGGCATTGGGTGCGACGGCGATCGGAATGTTGCTGGGTTTGGGTACGCAGATGTACTCCAACGCCCTCCGTAAGCTCCCTTACATGCGACGTAAGTCTCCAGTTTCCGCCCCGATTTCTTTTTGATTCTCCGGAATACTGTTTCTTTCTCTCATTCTCTCTTCCTTACTATAGATCCGTGGGAGCATGTCTTGGGAATGGGGTTGGGTGCTGTTTTTGTTAATCAGCTTGTGAAATGGGATGCTCAACTCCAACAAGACCTCGACAAGATGCTCGAGAAGGCCAAAGCCGCAAACGAGCGCCGTTATGTTGGTTAGCTTCCTCCTTCTATTGGACCCTTTTGCCTTGTCGCTCTGCATTTGATCTTATTGCATCAAGTTTGGTTCCTTGTTTCTTGAATTTTCTTCCTTTCTGATTTTTTCCCCTCTCTTGCTTTCTGATTAGTGCATCTTTTTTGTGCCTTTAATTTGTGGGGGTTATACTTGTTATATTGGATTTGGGGCAGGAGGCACTGATGCTCTGGATAGTCTAACCGTTCTTTTTTCTTAGATGGTTGTGTTCTCTGTCTTCGGCTGAGAGGGTGAAGTTATATTTGCAATGACCATGAGATGTGTAGTTTTGCTGTTTCGGTTGCTCCTAAATTTCTTTAATGGTTGAAAATCTTAGATGAGAAGAGGATGACATAATGAGAAATAATCTAAAGGCTGAATTATTCCATCATTTATGTAGTTATAATCCACTTGTATATCATCCCAGTAAGATGGTATTTTACTTGAATTACTCTTTAATGTAAGAAAAAGTCGAGGAATTTGATTCTTCTAAGTGCATTAGTGGATTGGATGCTGAGATATTAAGGTGTGCTTTCACATACGTGACAGATTGACTCAGTAAAATCAAGCTAGTGATTTAAATGCGGCGATGCTTCTGTGAAATTTCTGTACGAGAGTTGTCAATTATTATTGGCCAGGCTCAGTAAATCTGCAGACTAGTGTTTCTGCAAGTGATTTATTTAAGGAGAAATTTCATTCTTTTCACACTTTTGTAACTGTATCTGAATACTTCTTGCATGTTTAGATGCATTCTCTAGTTGCTATTGTTTTATCAGTGATACAAGGGGTTGTGGTAATATTTTAGTTAAGTTCCATCAGATCAAATATATACCCTTATACTTGTTGATTGAAAGCACTTAAATCCTGTGAAAAGAAATAAGGAAAGTGAGTTTGAAGTTCTTCGTCCTCCTCACAACATATATTAATCATTAAAAATTTTGAAACCATTGAAGTCTTGACTGTTTTTAGTGCTTTGTTTTTGAATTTTGATGCTTGTCAAATATATTCCTTAATATTTTGGTTCTTTCTGTTTCATGTTATATTTTTCAAGCTTTCTTGTGGGGCTTGACTACCATTTTCTGCCCCCTTTTGACATTACAATAGGCATTTCTCGATGAAAGAATTGAAGGAAAAAAAAGAAAAAGAAAAAAAAAAGTGGTGCAATGCCAGTTTGGGAGTCCCTGACTTTCGTGATCTTTTCGGTGCTCAAACTTTGAATTGCTGGGTGACCAATTCTTGCAATTTCTTAACTTGGAATCTGGTGATTTTTCAACTGGGACTCTTGTGGTTTCTCACTCTTCTACGAGGGAACAATTTGTTCTTGATAAGATAATTTGGAATTCTAGGACTCCCTCAGAGGTCAAATCTTGTATTTGGACAACAATAACAAAAGATCAAACCCTTGATATGTTGTAGGTTTGATTACCCAATCTGGTTGTTTCTTCTGATACATGTAGGTGAAGATTTAGCTAGAAAACTCCATTTATTCCTCCATTTTTTTAGCTGTTAGTTACGGGTGGAATCAACTTTGCTATTTTTTTTAAGTGACGACAGGATACATCCTAGTAATTGGAACTGTTCTTTGATTTATATGGTCCGGTAGCATCAAGCAACCCTAAAATTTGTGGCAATTTATGGTTACTGGGTTTCTTCAAGAGTACATCTTCACCCGCAATTGTGTTGAGATATGATTGTGTGTACAGCTTCCTTTTAGTGCACATGCTCTTTTATGAGGGCACCACTTTATCTTGGTGCAAATAGATTGCATGCACTCTAATAGGCCTTAGAAAGCTTCGAATATTGTGTTCTATTTTGAGCCTATCTCTTGTAATTTCTGATTGTAATATCTCATCTTTCAGCTAGATGTAAAATTTTCTAGTACTTTTGAAATGTTTATCCTTATTTGAACTTTGGTATGAATCTACTCTATTAGGAATACCTTACTGTGCTTCCCAGCTTCTGCAAATAATCTATGACAAAAAGGAATGCTAAATCTTGGTCTAATAAGAAGAGCGTAGTATAGTATTTCCTTTTTGAGAAAAATATACGCTGGTAATCAAGTATGTATAGTTCTGTCAACTGGTTAATAGCTCCCCTCCTTTATTTAATTGTTTCATTTATCTGTAATATAACATTGCAGAGGAAGAATAGCTCATACAAATTCTGTGTATTATTTCCTTGACGTAGTTTACGATGGATTACTAGTCATTTGAATCCTGAAGTTACCTATGAGCTATATTACTTCTATGATATGGTTGATTATTAGAAAACGGATAACCTGAATTACTATTCATTTGAATTCTGAAGTTACATATGAGCCATCATGTCTCCTTGTTATGTATTATCGATGTGGGTATGTTACATTGCAGATGATGATGATTAAGAGCATCTCTTCAAGGGCGGCATTACTTCTGTCATGAGAATCTTGTGGTAAATTGTCGTTATAATCAAATGCTTTGGTGTTTTTAGTGTGGTTGTATCGTACTTGTGAGGCTGTTATAACTTGCTGATGAACCAGTTTTGAGCACAAGGTCAGCGACTCATAATGTTCAATGGCTATCATTGTAGCTTCATTAATAATTTATAGATTCAGTCCACTTACTTTCTCAGATTCTCAATTGAGTTCTTTAATTTTAATATCAAATATGATATTCATAGTTAAGAAAAGGGATTTTTAATCATCTTTGTAAGTTATATATCTCTAGATATTTAAATTTTCAAGGGAATTGTAAAATATTTTATAAAAATCTAATCATCATTATAATAGATTAGATGGAATCAAAATGACTGACATGATCGGTTCAATATCTATGAAGAAAATTTATTGGATTCATAATTTTGAAATTAGACATTCTGTTACAGATTGAATAAAATCATATTGTCAATTGCTGTGAAGAGGAAAAAAACTCGTTAAAAAGATGTAAACTAATTCTCAACTTATAATTTCATAATAGAGGTACAATATGTAACAACATTTTTTGGCCTACCAATGGGTAACATTGTATTTATTAATTAAATATTATATATTTACTCTGGCCAAAAAAATTATATAAAAAATTTGCATGTGATGTGATGTTTGAGCGGTGGGGTGGTATGGGCAGCAACGCTTTGGAACTGAGGCAATTTTTCCGAATTTCAAGGCCAGCTTTGTGGAAGCATTGAGTTAGCTCTATTTTAGCGACTCTGAAACATGCAATCGTTGAATTTAACGTTATAATAATAATAATATTCATATAACAAAATAATAATCGGTGAGTTGGCCCGATGTTGTTGGATCACTTTTTGAATATTCTTTATTCTCAAATATTAACACATTAAATTTAATTTTAAAAAATAATAATGGTGTCAAAAAAATATCATTTGAAACTAAACATATTAGGGTCTCAAAACTGAAAAGAATAAACTGAAAACTAATGTAAAATTAGAAAATTTTATACATTGGCCGATAATTTAATCAAAATTTGTTGTGTTTCCTATAAAACGTAATTTTATTTTATTGGAGAACACCATAAATGCTTAAGAAAATGGAAAGTGCATTGTATCATTGTATAGAGTATAGAAATTCAAATGTTGAAATTACTCAATTCTTGGAAGGCTCACAATTAATTCAAAGGCACACAGCCAAACCTTTTGGCTTGAAGTTAGAAGTACTACTTCACAAGTCACAACAAACAAATATTGCTTTCGCCTACACAAAAGTCATCACTTGTGAATAATTAGCCCAGCAAAAAAAAAAAATGTCACTCGTGGCGATTCATATTCATCTTGTCAAAGTCAAGCACTCTGTTGCTGAACACATGAAGCAGAAGATCACAGACTTGGCGCGAAGACGGTCTCTCGTGCGGCGTCGTTTTGGTGCAGTGCAAGGCAACCTCAAGAACTTGGAATGCTGCAAACTGTTGTGCTGGCGCCAGAGTCTTCAGCTGAGGATCAATCAATTCCTCAGAATGCATCTCAATGTTCATTTCAACCCATCTCACCATATCCATATCTCCTCCAAATGCTTCATCCGTTGGCATCTTCCCACTCACCAGTTCCATCAACACTATCCCCATACTGTACACATCACTCTTCTCTGTTGCCTTCAGTGAGTATGCACACTCTGAAACCAACAAAATTCATCATGGGTGTGTTAAAAATTGAGACAAGTTTGTCTTTAGGATCAGAAAAATAAAAGAGTTTGGTTAGTACCTGGAGCAATGTAGCCGTAGGAGCCAGCAAACCAAGAATTAGATTCAGTGTTGGAGTTGTCAATGTTGAGTTCTTTTGCCAATCCAAAATCTCCCAAGTGAGCATCCATTTTGGAATCTAACAACACATTGCTGGATTTGATGTCTCTGTGGATGATCTTTGGGACACAGTCATGATGCAGGTACTCCACTCCTCTGGCTAATCCTACTGCAATTTTGAACCTAGCTTCCCAATCAAGGCATCGTCTGGTCTTTTCTGGTTTCCCATGCAACCAATCCCACACACTCCCATTCTCCATGAACTCATATATCAGCAGATTCCATCCTTCTCCTTTGCTCTTGTTGCTGCAATAACCCATCAGCTTCACTAGATGTCTGTGCCTGATCCTCCCCAGCGTCTTCACTTCTCTCACAAAGCTCTTGTTCTGCATAAAGTCATCTTTTCTTGAAATTCTCTTCACTGCCACTGTATCTCCTGATGGCAATTCTGCTCTGTAGATTGTCCCGGATCCTCCCGAACCAATTATGAACTCGTCGCTTAGATTTTCAGTGGCCTCCATGATGTCCTCCCACCTTATCTCTCGCTTTGCAGCTGTATTATACCGGAAGAGTGGTCTTCGTTGCCCTTGTGATGATGAAGAGGAGTAAATATAGTTCACTTGGCTGCCTTTTCTGAGAAATTCATGCTTGCTCTTCATGAACATTCTTACTGCAAGTATTGCTAGTGCAACTGCTGCTAATGTTGAAAGAGCCGAGATTATCACTGCTGATGTTTTACTCAGGCCTAACAGGTGATTGCCGGAGCCATCCGTATTGCAATGTTTAAGAGGGCTTCCACAAAGATGTGAATTACCTTCAAAAGCCTTAGGCGGCCAATGGGAAAATTGATCATCTAACTCACCTTCAAGGTTATTGTAGGAAAGATTAAGCTTTCCCAAGCTGCTCATTTCACCAACTTCAAGAGGGACTTGTCCTGTGAGTTGATTGTGAGAAAGATCAAGCTCTTCCAACTTTGCCAGTGTCCCGAGCATATGTGGGATTTCACCAGAGAGATTGTTGTAACTGAGGTCTAACATACTTTGGAGATTCTGCAGCATTCCAAGCTCACTTGGAATCTCACCATTAAAGCTGTTCCTGGACATTCTCAGCTCATAAAGCTTGCTTAACTTACCTATGGCCGGAGGGACTGGTCCGGAGAAGTTATTTTGCTCGACATTGAGGATGTTGAGGGATGTGAGATTACCTATGTCATCAGGAATACTTCCATTAAGAGAGTTGCTGTTCACGGAGAGAACTAGCAATTTAGTACATGTAAACAGCTCTGTTGGAAGAATCCCAGAAAACTTATTAAAGGAGAGCTTAAGCTCTCCCAACTGAGGCAAGCTTCCAAGCCAGGATGGAATTGGCCCAGACAGCATATTATTGTTCAGATCTATATGAGCTAGCTTCTTGCACAAGGAAATCTCTGCTGGTATTGATCCAGTGAGAGAATTTTCAGACAGGTCTAACAAAGAAAGCTCTTCAATTTTCCCCAATGTCCTTGGTATTTCACCAGAAAGGTTGTTCCTTCCTAATCTTAGCCTCTCAAGAGAAGGTGAATTTCCCAGCTGGGGTGGAATTTCACCATCAAATGCATTGTTAGTGACATCAAAAGAAAGAAAATTCCGGGAGCGACATAATGCTGATAAACTACCATTCAATCTGTTCTTTGAAATATTCACCCTTGTCAGATTCTTCAGATTTATCAGTTGGAGAGGGAGATTGCCCTCAAGTGAATTGTTATACAGCATGAGTTGCTCCAAATCATTCATTAATCCAAACGTTGAAGGAATCCCACCTGAGAGATAATTGTCTGCTAAATCAACAATAGTTAGCTTATGACAGTTACCCAAAGTGGCTGGAATCTCCCCCACAAGCTCGTTCTGTCTGAGATGAAGGAAATTCAAGTCTCTGAGCCTTCCAATAGTGATGGGAATTTCCCCAGAAAACTTGTTTCCGAAGAAATCAATCATCTGCAAGCTTGAACAATTACCAATCTCCATGGGAATCTCCCCTGATAATTGATTATCATATAGATACAGTATTTCCAACTTTCCCAGCATCCCAACCTCTCTTGGGAGAGCACCCTGTAAATTGTTGTGGAACAATGCAAGTGTCTGCATGTTACTGAGATTTCCTATGAAAGGAGAGATTGAGCCAACCAAGCTGTTGTTATTGAGTAACAAATCAGTTAACCCAGTCATTTGATAAAGTTCAACGGGTATTGATCCATTTAAGGAATTGTTTGACAAATCAAGTTGTTTCAGGGATTGGCACTGGATTAACTCACTGGGAATCTCTCCAGACAGTGCAGTATCCGACAACATCAAATGCTCCAAACTAGTCAAGTTGGAACATATGCTTCTTGGGATGGTCCCTGAGAGATGATTCCCAGACAGAACCATGTACTCTAGCTGACCCATGTTTCCAAGTTCTTCAGGAATCCCACCAACAAGCTTGTTGAGGGACAAGTCCAGATTTTGAAGATTACCCAGTTGAGCTAGAGACGATGGAATACGACCCTCGAGTTGGTTGCCCATGAGATTCAAATAAGTGAGCTGACTCAGATTCCCCAGTTCACTCGGAATCTCCCCTGTTATACTGTTGTTCGCGAGGTTGAGAAGCTGAAGATTCTCAAGGCCAACAAGTTCAGTCGGAAGAGTCCCATTGAGTCCGTTGTTTGCAGCAGTGAAAACAGTGAGATTCGAACAGTTTCCCAACTCGGGCGGAATCGGACCTGTGAGTTCATTCTCTTGTAAAATAAGATTCTCTAGCTGATTGAGTCGTCCGAGTTGCGATGGAATAGACCCAGTGAGACTACTAGAGGCCAGGCCAAGAGTCACGAGACTAACTAAATTGCCAAAAGACGAAGGAATGGGACCTGTCAATGGGTTGTCCCCGATCCTCATGACTTGGAGACTCGCGAGCGAGCCGAGCTCAGCTGGGATGTGACCAGTGAGTTGGTTAGAGAAGAGAAGCAGATACTCCAAAGAAGAGAGGTTCGACAGAGCAGGTGGGATGGGACCAGTAAGGCGGTTAGAAGAAAGATCAAGTTGGAGCAGGTCACGTAAGAGACCGAGTGAGGAAGAGATTGACCCAGTGAGTGACGAGTCAGAAAGATTAAGTCCCACCAACGTAGCCGAACGATCCATGGAGTTCAATCCACAAGTAACCCCTCTCCAGCTACAGTAATCAGTGTTGTTCTCAGACCAATCAGCCAAAACATTTTCTGGGTCTTCAATGAACGACTTCTTCACCTCCAAGAGCAACCTCAACGTGGAAGATGAATCACCATCTGAGTCTGACTTGCCATGACAGAGAAGAAGCAAAACAGAAGAGAACCATAAGAAGAAGAGTAACAGCATTCCAAGAGATGGAACGATCCTCGCTGGTACAGCCATTTGAGTGAAGTGATGAAGCTAGCTAGCTACAGAATCCAGAACACTCGCAGGAAGTTGACAAAAAGAGTGTTGAAATGCTAGTAACAGGGACAAGTGCTGAGGATAGCAAGTGTAGAATAATACGGGAGACGACGCGTCATGTGATTGTGAGGGTTAAAGTGAAGAAGAGTGAAACTGCATGGTGGTACTGGTGTGTGATTAGTGGGAATGAGGTGCATGGCGTGCGTTGGGGATGACGAAGGGGTTGGTATTTGGTGGGGAGAGAAATTAATGAAGGAAGAAAGGGTGGAAGGTGAGTGGGAAACGAGAGAGGTGTGTCAGAGAAGGGAAACGAAGGCGATTAATGAGACTTGCAGAGATAGAAGAAAGAGAAGGTGATACTGATGATATACGTAATCATATTCATACGTTAGTTGGGACTTGGGAGAGTCAAAATGGGGAAAGGAGTGTTAAGATTAAAGAGCATGGGAAATATAAGAAGAAGAAGAAGTCAAAGCAAGCAAATGAATGAAGATAGAGAGAGAGAGAGAGTGAAGAGAGAGAAGATATACAGTGGTTGGGCGACTCAGCAATGAAGAGTTGGTATGGGTGTACAGTGAGTAATTGTATTATTTCATTTTAGTGTCGTAGCTCAACACGAATGCGATCACCATAAATAAAGAGAGCAGTTCAGTTTCCCTCTTTGTTTCTTCTTTCTTCAATTTCCTATCCTAGTTTTACATACATTCTTCGTTCATGAGCACTATTTGCTATAGTACCATGGCTATACAATATGATAGATTTATATGTCAACAACAAAAAATTTCAAATTTAGAACAATTGTTTGTGTATGATTTAATTTCAATTAGAAAAATGTTCCATGCCATTGACATTAATCAGAGGTAAAATAATAAATTATCTACTTGATTTCTTTAATTTTTTATGAAATTAAGTTCAATAATCAACTTTTAAATGTTAAAGTGAGATGACCATATATACAATTCCCAAAACCTGTGTTTGATATTGCCCTCTGCCATAGTATTTTGTTAACATATCATATGGAACATTTGCAGCTGAACATTTAGTTGTTCCAAATGTTGTATTTTAATTCAATTATGGGGTAGCTAGTTTAAGATATTGAAAATATAATTTTAAAAAAATATATATTTTTAAATAGTTTTTTTACTTCATGATTTTATTAATATAGAAGTAGGGGCTAGTTGTACTTTGCAAGCCTTTCAAAGCTAATAGAGACCCCACAAAGCATATTCTTCTTCTTGTTTACCCCGGGGGGGGGGGGGGGACCAACAAAAGTCATATTCATTTGCATAAGGCAACTTAGAAGAACCATTGTCATCAACACAGGTTAACCAAAAGTAGCAGATTTAAAAAATAAAAAAAAAAGTGAAAATTTAGCTTCATTAACCTTCTATAATTCTTTTATGCCAGAATTAACCTTCTATAATTATAATATCTGAAGGAAAAACAATATAAACAAATAAAAATAAGTATGACATTATTTTTCCCTATATATTAACTTTTCTAAGAAATTAAATCTTACATTATTTTAAAATTAGATTTTTATCTTGAAAAACTTTTGAATTCACCTTGTAATTTGAACGCTGATAATCAAGAAAGAAAAACAGATATAATATAATTGAGATTGTAAGAAACGCAAGGTATATAGCATTATACTTTAATTAATTTGATATGAATGTTTATTGGTTTGAGCCACCAAATCGCAGTGTCGTTTTGCAGCGTTTCGTCTTTATAATTGGATTGGTTGTATATATAATTGTGTCTGACCCTTTTGCCTACTCCAAAAGGTTTGCTTTTTCATAATGTTCCTGTTAAGTTGTCCTAATCAATAAAATTAGCATACTTAATTAATCTTCCTTAATTCATCTGTTTTGCTCATCCTCATGCAAATCCAAAGCTACTCAACCATCTTTACTTATTAATACTTTTTGCGTTAAATAAGTCAAATCACTTGCTTTTTATCTTATAATTGCTTTTGTTTAATTGTTTGTCAACAACTACTTTTTACGTCTACTCTGTTCTTGATTAATTTATACAAATATAAATTCAATAAAATCGTTTAATAAAATGGCAATAAAAGTTTAGCAACAAGAATTAACTAAATTAAAAAAAATATTTTAAAACTATACAAATTTAAACATTAATCTTCCTACATATATGATTTTCAATTGTCAATCTCCCTAAAAGTTTAAATGTGTGAAATCATAAACAAAATTAATCCTTAACATACTAAATAAAAAATCCTAAACATATCACCTTGTGTGTGTGTATTATGATCACACAATTTTATTATTAAATTGTCAATTTTGAATTTTGATCCCTGATGGCTTATCCTTAAAAGCCTATAAATAATACAAGAAATTATGAAGAAAGGGTTCACCAATAAAATTTGTATATTCTTACAGCTATGATTCATTTTATAATCTACGATTCACCCGTGACAGATCACAATTATATATTCTCTTGACTTATCCCTGCTAAGCCACATTTTATAGCATTGATTAATTATGTTAATAATTGTTTAAGGGACAAAAAGATTCCATAAATAGTGCGAGTATATATTTGATGATGTATTACATATTTACATTTATGAATGTGGCCAAATTTGGGCGATGCATGATTGCTTCTTCACGTATTTGTGTTTGACTTACTCATTAATTGACACACAATAAACCAACAAATTTATTCTGGATGCTCTTTCCAACCGAATATGACAAATATATATAATATAACATAATTTAATATAATGTGTGTCCTTCTTAAAAAATATTGGAAAAATGACAGTAAAATATCATGTGAATTTCAAAAAGACAAATAAGGCACATAAATAAGCAAAATGATAAAGAAGGCATCAGGTATCAATTTGGAATTTTGATTTTTGGCTTAAAGACCGAATTGCCCTTATTATGTTTGAAAACTGAGGAGACAGAGAAAGGTAGAAACCGCCTCCTCTCGGCGAAAGCAATCCCCCCACTCGGCAAAAGAGAAACTGCCCCCACTTGGCGAAACCAATCCACCTACTCGGTGAAACTAATCCCTCCCCTCAGCGAAACCGAATCCCCCTACTCGACGAAACTAATCCCTCCACTCAACGAAACCGAACCCCCCACTCCACGAAACTAAATCCAAGCTCCTCCAGTCACTGAAAAAGGTTCTCCGATTTGCAAGGGGATTTGCAAACTATTCTCAGGAAATGTAAAGCTGTCTGATTTTCAAGTATTGTTAAATCATTTGCCCAGAATGTTACTACACGTATAATGAGATTTATAACTCGCGAAGTGAATTTGACCACTTCTTCGAGGGGTTTGACAACTTGTTTTGAGGGGTAGGGCAACTTTTCTCTACAAAAATATAATTCCATGTTGAATTTGACAGAACACATAGTGGGGTTTACAACTTTTACAGTGAGTGTTACTATATTTTCAATGGGATTTGTAACCTTTTGTGAGGGGTTGGCCAATGTTTCTGTCAAAAACAAAACAATTCCATGCTAAATTTTACAAAACACATAGTAGGAATAACAACTTTCATAGTGAGATTTACTACTTCTTCAATGGGTTTTGCAACCTTTTGTGAGGGGGTGGGCAACTTTTCTGTCAAAAACAAAACAATTCCACGTTGAATTTTACAAAACACATAGTGGGAATAACAACTTTCACAGTGAGATTTACTACTTTTTCAACGGGTTTTGCAACATTTTGTGAGGGGCTGGGCAATGTTTCTATAAAAAACAAAACAATTCTACACTGAATTTTACAAAATACATATTGGGAATAACAAATTTCACAGTGATGTTTACTACTTCTTCAATGGGCTTTGCAACCTTTTGTGAGGGACGGGGTAAATTCTCTATAAAAAACAATACAATTTCACACTGAATTTTACAAAACACATAGTGGTATTTACAACTTTCATAGTGAGAGTTACTACTTTGTGTAATGTAATGCACCATTCACGAAACAATATTTGCCAAAAACCAGCAGCCATATAACAGCAAATACATTACATATATTCAAATGACTGCACCTGAAGTATATCAAAGTAAATATTGAACCATTAACTTTCATACTAACTACATGTGTAATGGAATGTACTATTCACATAACAGTATTTACCAAAAACCAGTAGCCATATGATGGCAGATACATTACATATATTCAAATGACTGCACTCTACTCTTGCGACGGTTACCAATTTCACCGACAGCACTTTACTCCTGCGACGGCGGCAATGTGATTTCAGAGAACCTTTTTCGATGATTGGAGGAGCTTGGATTTAGTTTCGCCGAGTGGGAGGATTGGTTTCTCCGAGTGGGGGGGTTCGGTTTCACTAGCCGAGTGGAGGGATTGCTTTCGCCGAGTGGGGGGATTGCTTTCGCTAGGAGGAGGTGATTTCTCCCTTTCTCCATCTCCTCAGTTTTCAAATATAATAAGGGCAATTCGGTCATTAGGCCAAAAATCAAAATTCCAGATTGGTACCCAATGCTTTATTTCTCATTTTGCTTATTCAGGTGCCTTATTTGTCTTTTTGAAATTCACATGGTATTTTACTGTCATTTTTCCAAAAATATTTTGATGGTTTGACCCTCCATATTAATATGTTAAATCCCATTAAATATTATATCATCGTATTTTTGGCATAAAGTGGATAAGAAAATTGACATTGAATAGAATATTCTAAAGTGAAATAATATCCCTCTAAAACGGTGCCTATCATGAAAACTTTTCAAATACTATCTCTAGTACTTAATATTAGAATTCATTTGACTTTTATTTTTATTCTAAATATAAGATTCCAATTCACTTTATCTCTTATATTTATGTATTTTTTTAAAGATAGTTATTATAATAATGGTAGTTATATCCAATACACATGACTAATAAAAATATTTTAAGAAAGACAACACATATTTATTACAAATAACTAACTTAAATAAATTTTTTTATTTATTCAAATTAGTCAACTACCTTCTTTATTAAGGA